ACAACATCGTAACTGGAAAGGTCCGTATAGGATTGACAAACGGCTGAAGGACGCAATGCATCGAATCCAGACAGCTGGGAGACCTAGAACCAAGATGAAAGACTAGCAACGTTTGGAGCAGCAAGTGTGTCTGCTCGGGACGATCAGACTTAGGTGGAGGGCAGTGTGGCGAATACTGCGGCAACACAAAGCGAACAACGAGAAATAGGCAGAATGTTCGAGGAATGACGTAGAATGTTCCACAAAGAGAAACGTCAAGTTGGATGAACACTGCGAACAACGAGAGAAAGAGAAAGCGATAAACTTCAGAATGTTCTAGAGTTGCCATAAGGGCGCCGCCACAGCGGAGTTAGTTAGTTACAAGACAGCAAGCTACAAGTAAAGTGAGCAGAGAAGTGAGTTGCGAATAAGCAAGATATAAGTTTAATTGTGTTACCAAGTTTAGTTAAGCGCTGTTATTGCTTTAACAAGTATTGTAAATTGTTTTTACTGTATTAGCTATTATTGTAAATTGTTTGTTGTACAATAAAGTTAATTGCACTACAATTTGGTCATCAATTGCATTTATTTAACAATCCAGCGATACGAACCGAGAGATTTGGCACGGGGGACGAGGTTTCAATGATAATCGTAAGACTGCTTTTACACAGTTCAAGTATTGAATTCTATTCTGCTCGCATGTGGGAGAGAGGGGGTGAGAAGAAAAGGGACGAGTACACATGCGTCTGTACCGTCAACTCGTTTCAAGTTTCTTGCTTTGCTTTTGGCATTTTCGTTGCTTCCCATTTAAAGAACCAAAAACTTGAGTTCAACAGAATTGAAACGTGTAAAAGCAAATAGAAAACACAAAAGAGAATGAGCAAGAATTGCTTTCAAGTACTTGAATCGTGTAAATCGGGTGTAACAATAGAATACAAGAATGTGCCGATTGCAGCAGAATTCGTGAGAGTAATTTTGGAGTGACGTCACCGTAGAGTTGACAACTGATAGCGGCAATTAAAACTGTTGTCTAGTGATGTGCTGAATTATCGGTACCCAATACTTAAAAAAGGTTGCGGTACCCAATATTTCCTTGTCGGTACCAGAAACTGATTCTTTACATTAAACCTTCGCCATTATATGCATTTCAAGTTTAGAAAAAACTTTCATTATTAACTCATATGATATCGGCTAAAACACTTGAACTTATCGCAACAGAGAAATATCAATACTTTGACGTCAACAAAACCGATACCGATTCGAAAATTGTCGCTAACTGGTTACAGAATCGTCCAATTCAGCTGGAACAAAAATGCTTCAAACAAGTAAGAGTTTCTCTGCATTATGGCCTCGAATCGACATATATACAGCTTTCATTTGAATCAGTATTAAAAGCTCTATTGGCTTCTACATTCGGGTTTTTGATAGACGAGTCTCCCCTGAACCGTTTCTTCCATATTTTTGGCCTATGTGCGCTTTTATTCGAAACTTAAATGTTTTGGTACCGAGTAGCGAGAGTATTGGATACTTAAAAGTATTGACTCAGCACATCACTACTGCTGTCATCTCGACTGTGACGTCAGCAAAACAGGTGATTCTGTCAAATTCACTGAGAGCCGATTAGCGGTACTGCCATCGGCGCCACCTGCTGTATTCTCTCCACCGTGACTGATTACGAAGTTTTTCAAGAAAAACATACATTTTGATTTAAAAAAGGATATAGTCTCCTTTTTCTCTAAATATGTATATATTATTTATATAGATATACATACTTGATAAAAGATATTTTACCTTTCCAACCATATCCACGTTTTGAAAATCGGTTCAATAATTTTCGAAAAATAAGCTTTTAAAAATATTGAAAATTCCACTTTTACCACCCCTTGCACCGACACTTTTAATTTGCAGCAAAACAAAATTCATACAATCAAAATCAAGAATAAGGAGCGAGCCACGCCCACTTTTTCTTTTTTCCTAGGTCATCGGCCCCTATTCTTTACTTTTACGAAAATCAAAGATATTTATACTGAAATTTTTTGGAATATTTTATTTTTGTGCCATAGAAAAGATAAAAATTACTTAAAACTTCTAAAAAAATCATTCTTCGTTTAATCGCGTGCCCTTTTATATTGCACAGTCCAATTTAGGTTGAAAAGTATGCTCGAAAAAAATCTAAATTGTTCCTATTCACTGCATTACCAACACAAACAGTGATTTAAGATTTTCTCTATTTAGGTAGCAATTTAGACGTACTCGCACACAGCCTTAGGGCCGGTTTCTCCATCTCTGGTTAACACTAACTCCCCGGTTAAACATTGTTATCGACGTTCTAACTCCATGCATATAACAGGGAGTCGATAAGGTCGGTAACGATGTTTACCGGAGGATTAGTGTTAACCGGAGATAGAGAAACCGGCCCTTAGTCTTTTAACTACACATGTGAGTTGAAATATTTTGATTTCAATCGCGCGTTTTTATGTAATATACCAAAATAAGTGTGCAAATACCAAAGGGTACCCTTTGCTAGGTCCAGTTGCCACTGTGAATATTGGAAGCCGCATTATTAATAAACTAGTGCTCCGGAATTTTAAATATTAGTGCTAAATTAAAATTTAGTCTTTTAACTACACATGTGAGTTGAAATATTTTGATTTCAATCGTGCGTTTTCATGTAATAAAACAAAATAACCTAACTTCCATTTGGCTTATTAAAATTTCTACCTATTTCTCATTTGTTGTTTTTGACCTAAAATGAAAGGTTTAAACGTTTCATTGCACCAAATTTCCTTTAAATTGTAACTAACTTACATTTTTATAGCAGTTCCCTTTTAAAATACCGGTGAAAATTCTCCCAGATTAACCTAATCAATTCTCCTCCTTTTTGACATTCGTAATACCTACTTTTTTCCCGAAATACATTTTCCCTTTTTCGAAGATCGTTTAGAATAGGAGAATAGGGAAAAGAGGAAAAAACCTCAGGGAATTTTTATTCATGATAGGAGGAAAGAGAAATGAGGAAAAATTTCTAGGGAGTTTCTATTCAGAATCGGGCTGTAAGTGAAAACTATCGATAGTACATACAACTGTTTTCGATAGTCAAAAAACATCGATACTATCGATAGTACCATGGATAGTATTCCAATTCTATAACGATATGTTCCTTACATTTTCAAGACTATGTGTTGGTATTTATCTTACGATATGTAGAAAAAACAATCTATAATAAAAAGTGATTATTAAATTTAAATGCTCCCAGAGATTTCTACACATTTTGCTGTGTATTGCGCTAAAATAAATGTTTTATTATGATCGATGCCATAAATTACAAAAATTAAGAGGCGTAAGTTAGACCACCGTCCATATTAATAGTGCCGTCAATTTAAAGTTTACAAAACAAATGAATTAAGGATGAAGTTCAGTCGTTTTGGGCTTTAATTTGGTATTTACATGGATAAATTCTGGAAATTGGGATTGCATCATTACACTGGAATGTAAATTGAAGTGCAGATGTACATACAGAAGTAAAAATTGGCAGTAGATGGGCAGTATTTTCCCCTAATAAATAATTGTATTTTATTTGAAAAGTTTTTTAGCAAATTTTATTATTAACAACGAAAAATTGCTCTGGAATTATTGATGAGGCTGAGTGTTCAAATACATAGTCTTGAGTAATAAATGACTTGTCAAACAATAAAATAGAAAGTTTCACACGGAAGTTACTAGAATAAATATGAATTGTGCTAAAGGGTTTGGATGCCTTAAAAGAATATTAATAAATTACAAACCACACACAAATAACTGAGATAAAGCGTTGAATATATGTACCAGAACTAATATTTTCGAATTGTAAGCCAGAGTGTATATGGGCGTGTCATGCCGGCAGTGGGGTTTTATTCGATAATTTGTGTGGATTTACATAAAGCAATATGACGCACAATAAATAATTATGAAAGCATTAAACATTTTCATAAATAATATTGATAAAAGACAGTAGGGGTATTCTCTGAGTCTTGCAAAGCCATTGCATGGTGCACAGATTGCACGGTAAAAACCGGTTTTCGTATGGGACAGCTTTGCAAACCGTGCAATCCGTGCACTGTGCAAGGGCTTTGCAAGACTCAGAGAATACCCCTATTGTTGAATACTTGGGATATATGTATCTATACTTGTGACCTAATTTTATAAGGTATTATCAGTGATTCCTGTAGAAAAAAGGAAAGTTTTCAGCAAAACTGGTGAAATAAAGCGAAGCGCACATTAGCGCGATTCCATCGTTGCGAATGCGTTGCGAATTCGGCTGTTAACTTCGAATCCGCAAACGTGCGCACACTTGAGCGATTTTTTCGCGTCGATTTCCGATGTGCAATTCACTCAATTTTCCCTTTATTTCGTGTATTTTCGCACTCGGCGTGCCCAAATCGTACAAAATACTATTATTACGAACGTTTTTATTAGTTTTTGTACATTACACGTTTTTTTTTCTTTGCCTTTATTGCTGTGACACCTTTCTTCTTCTTCTTTGACGCCTTCAAAACGCTGCAAGCCGCGTTTCGAACGCGTCAATAGAGAGGAACATTGAATGTTCGAAAAATTCGCAGCGACGGTCGTGCAAGTGTGCGCTAGCGCATTAAAATGTATGGGTAGCATTGTTGTAATTTTTGGGCTTGCGGATTCGCAACGACAGAATTGCGCCAATGTGCGCTTCGCTTAAAACCCATAAACACCTTACCGAATCCTAAAAAACCATTGAGGAAATTGTCAAAACGAAATGACAAGAATATACAACCGCTACAACAACAACAACAACAAGAATATATGCCATGATAAAAACATTACAAGGTAAATTCATTCTCTCAATTCGTCGGCCATGATTTTGTTCTGACGTTTGCCAATATTTTAAAATCATATAAAATTGAAAATAAAAAAATTAAATTGTTCACAATTGTTGTTGTTTGAGATTGAAAATGACAATGTGTGTGTGAGTTTGAGTTTTGATTTTAAAATTATATTGTTGGCAAACGTCAGACTGCCTCTCAATGGTTTTACCTTGTTATGTTTTTATCACACTTCCATTTGAGCAAGCGAAGAAGGTGGTTGGTTGATCTCTGCGCTGCGGTTTCAGTGTAATTGTGCTGAGTTTAATTATCAGTTTTTGAATAATTAGTTTTGTGCCGAGTTTAATTGCAAGTTTGATTTTTGTTCTGGATTGCGGATTCCTGGTGACCACTGCGGAATCTTTTGGAGTTTTTGTGGAATTGCTGGGGGCTTTGCCCAACGGTAAGCTGCATCTTGCTATTTGATTTTGTGCTTTTTGTGTTTCAATTAATTTGTGCCAATACGTGCAAGGAAAGTGAAACGTGTTGTTGAAGGTAGAGTAGGTGACGCCATGGCGTCAAAAGTTGATGATTTGGGGGAGACTGAGGAGGAGCATGTGGAGGCTCTGGTGGATTTTAAACATAAAAGATTTAAAACGGATGCTAATGATTGCAAAAAGGGGGGGCCCTCAAAGGGTTTAGGTTCCGTCAATCCTTCTAACATGGATTTTGAGGAATATGCTGTGGAATGGATGAGGCACAAGGGAATAGGTACAGGAAAAGGTAACGGGACTGTGGTGACGCCAAGTTGTAACGGGACTGATATGACGCTAACTGGTAACGGGACATTTGCCGATGGTACAGTTGGCGAAAATGGTGAAGCGACGAATAGTGTAAACGGCAAAAATATGTCAAGTGAATATGGAAAAAGAGGAGAAAGAGAAATGGTTTTATACCCAGCAAGCCATAAAGGGTTAGCATGTGTACTGTTTGATACTAACTTATGTGACACGGTGCACAACAAGAAAGTAAGAAACGGTTTATACTTGTGGAGCAGGATTAAGGATTTGGGAATTGAGGGCATTGATACGATAAGGGCTATAGGAGTTACGTTGTACAAAGTGTACTTTATTAATGCTTCATATGCGAATAGGTGTGTACAAAGTGATGTCTTAAAATCGGTAAAAATTAAGACATTCATTCCAAAGAACTATGTTGAGACTTTTGGAGTTATTAGACACATTCCGGTTGAGTACTCCGAGAGAGAGATCAGGGAGGGATTGAGATCGGCGGTTAAAGTTATGTCGGTTCAGCGGCTCACAAAGCGAGAAAGCAAAGAAAGTAGCAATAGAATACCAACTCTGTCGGTGAAGATTGTTTTTTTGGGGGATTGTATTCCAAAAGAAGTGGTTTTGGATTACACAATACTGGAAGTTAACCATTTTTATCCCATGGTGAGACAGTGCTTCAAGTGCGGAAGGCTGGGCCATACGCAGAAGGGGTGCAAGTCAGCTAAAAGATGCCTGAAATGTGGCAAAAATGATGGATGTGTGGGGAATAGTACTTCGACCAAATGTATTTTATGCGGTGATGAGTCGCATAATTCGTTCAACAAGTCTCACTGCCCTGTTTGGATGAAGGAGGATAGACTTATTAAGATTATGACCTTAAAGAGAAAATCAAGACTGGAGGCTCTAAATGAGTGTAAGGAGGGTCATAGTAACAGGTTTGAGTTACTAAGTGTGGAAGATTTTCCAGAGCTTAGTACACAGCAATCCGTTTTGAGGGATAATGATAGGGAGGCGAATGCTGTTCTTACTCCTATGAGCTTTGCAAGTAAATTGAAGAATGCTGGTGCAAGGAAGATAAATACAGTCAGGATGGTGCAACCGAAAGAAGCAGTTCAAAAGAGGATGCGGACTACGTCTCAACAAAATGGTATAGCCTTGAACAGACAAAACTTACATATTGTGTCTGAGATTGAGAAGATCACTACTGAAATGACTAAGTTTGCAAGAGATGCGTTCCGTAAGGTTGGTTTTCCTGCAGGTGTTAATGCTTTTGTGCACTTTAATGATCGGTTAAAGCAGCACTTTTTGAGCCTGGAGAATAGTGACACGAGTCAAGATGATGGGTTAATAATTAATCATCAGAATGAAGATACTACAATATAACGTATAATCGTTAAAGAAGAATGCCAATAATTTAGATTTTTTTGCTAATAGTAATAATTTTGATATTTTGTGTCTCAGTGAGGTTTACTCACATGATGATGAAAATGGTAGGAAGAATATTTTTAATTTTAATTTGGTGGAAAAGAAAAGAGCTGATGGATATGGGGGAGCTGCGATAGCCCTCCGCAAAGCCATTAAGTTTAAGAGATTGAGATATTTATCAGATCATGATGTTAGTGTGGTACAAACTACTAATCTGATCACAAATTTAGTTATTTGCTCGGTATATTGTGAACCGTCAATGGATCTCACTGTGTTTAGGAATTTCATCACAAACCTTTTTAATTTTCTTGAAGCTTTTAATAATGTTTTTGTAATGGGCGATTTGAATGCTCGCTCGGTTGTATGGGGGGATACAGTTGATAACCCGAAAGGGAAATGGCTGTCCAGTTTCATAAATGCTTCAACCTTTAAATGCCTGAACAATGGTGACATCACTTTCAGACCAGTGATTAATGACATGAAAAGGGGTTCGGTGTTGGACCTAACTTTTACTAATGTGTCCACACAAGTTAATTGGGAGGTGCTAAAATTTCAAATTGGGGGGAGTCATCACTATCCTATTGTGACGGATGTGAATTTTACAGAAACCAATTGTGTCAGTTTTTTTATAAAAAAAAAAGTTGTTTAGCTCTTTGAATAAGGTTAAGTTTGAACCCACAGTAGGTTGCGTTACACAGACCCTAAAAAATGAGATTAAAAGTGCCACTACGATTTTAAATGATAAAACACCAAAATCATGGTGGAGAGAGGACTTAAACAAATTTTTCAGATTATACAAAGCGGCGAGAAAGAAATGTAATTCTGCACCGACCCCGGAAAATTTTAACTATGCCCTTAAGTGTGAGGAAACATGGAAGAATGAAGTGAAAAAAGCGAAAAATCAAAACTTCATGGAAAGTGTACAGAGGCTGAATATGGAGCCAAATACTAAGGAGGCCTGGAGATTCGTAAACAACTTAAAAGGAAACTCAAGAAAGTCAGACATGTCACAATGGCCGGAGGAATGGAACGATAGATTTCTCCAGCATTTGAAAGGGCAAGTAATGAATTGTCACGATGTGAGGGATGATGAAAATGCTGAGTGTTTTGACACGACAGTTCCAAGGTTCAGCTTGGTGGAGCTGAATTCTATACTTAAAAGTAAGAAAAAAAAATCGGCAGGGGGTCATGATAGAATCACGTACGAAATGATTCGTGCGCTCTCTGATGACTCAAAGGAAATGTTGGTAAATACGTTGAGTGACGCATTTTTGAGGGGGGAAGTTGAAAGGGAGTGGCGTATCATTAAAGTGATACCCATTCTTAAGAGTGGTAAGGATCCTGGTGATCATGAAAATTATAGACCCATTTCGTTAATACCGGTTCTTCTTAAAACTGTTAATTTGATGGTCAAGGCCAGATTGGACCCTTTCCTAGCTGAAAAGGGTGTGCTTCCAAATAGATGTTTTGCTTATCGTAAGGGGAGGTCTGCCTCCATGTGCTTAAACGAAATCTTACGAAATATTCATGTGTACAAGGATAGAGGTCAAAAAGTTGTGGCAGTTGTTGTGGACATTAGTAATGCGTATAACAGTGTGCCGACGCTGTCTTTGTCTAATATGCTAAAGGGTTTTAAGGTTGAAAGCAAGTATGTGAACTGGATTAGGTCCTTCTTGCAGGAAAGGGTATTACGGCTTGGGAAAAGTGAAGTTACTGTAGGTAATGGGTTACCACAAGGTAGCTGCCTTTCTCCACTTCTGTTCAATGTATATACCAGATCTTTACATGAATGTGAGGATAATTGGACTGATGTATATCAATTTGCGGATGATTTTCTTATTTTAATACACGATTGGGATTTTAAGAGATTAACTGTCAAGCTGGAGCAGAAAGTCAATGAGTTTGTAAGAAGATGTAATAGTCTGAACCTTGTCATTAATTTACAAATAACTAAAGTAATACATTTTATCAAAAACTGTAAAAAGGAGATAAATTTGCAGGTCAACAATCATTCGATAGAGCAAGTTAAACAAATCAAGTTTATAGGTCGTACTCTGACGTCGTCCTTGTCTGTAAAAGCACATTACAATAAACTGCTTGAAAATGCTTCTAATAATGTAAAGCTTATCAGTTGGATTACCACAGTTAAAGCTGGGGTAATGCCTAATATTGCAGTGAATCTGTACAAAAGTTTAGTTAGATCCAAAATTAAAGTGGCGAGAACCACTGTACATGATATTCCAAAGTCTGTGGAACAAAAAATTAGAGCTTTTCAGAATAAGACCTTGAGAAGGTGTTTGGGTTTAACCCCCTCTACCCCGACTCACAATATATATGTACTAGCGAATGAGTTTGAACCTAGAGAAAGGGAAAAATTTCTAACTTGCCGTGAATTAATAAAACTAAAATTTGTAAACCCCGAAGTTTTGGACTGTATCAAAGGGAGTAAAAAGAATAACTCCAGCTACTCGACTACCTACTATCAATTCAAGGAGATTTTTAATAATATTAGCACGGAAATTAGTTTTCATGAAAGTGAGCATCTGAGAATTGTGAGACATGTGCTTGAGGGTAAAAAAGCGAACTTCTCTAAAGAGCAGTATCAAGCAGAGTATAGTAGTCTAGTACACAGGTACAAGGAAAGAGGTTATACAATTTTTGCCACGGATGCATCGGGTGGGGAAGACTCCATGGGGTGTGGAGTTTTCAATGTGACACATAGACAGAAATTTCTCTGGAGTATTAATTTCAAGACTTCATCAGTTTTTAGTGAGTTGTGGGCTATTGTCTAAGCAGTTGACGTAGCGGTTGAGGACAAATTTAAAAAAATTGTAATTTTTACGGATAGTTTGACGTCGTGTAGGTTGTTGGAAAAATGCGAAAATGGAACAACTACATAGTTGCAAGAATACATTCCATTATCAATAATAGTGGCTTAGAGTGTGAAATAGTATGGACCCCAGGGCATGTTGGGATTGAAATGAATGAGGTGGCTGATGAGTTGGCTAAGTGGGCGGTGTCAGTGGGCGCCCCTTTGAATGTGTTACTTACTCCGCAAGAAGCATTGAGACAGATCAGTAGCATTCTGAAAGATGAACAGACTGATGTCTGAGTATAAAGGTAGAACATTTTTTTCCCGACATACCACACAGACCTTGGTATTATAAGTCATCACTTGATGTGAAAGATGTCAAATTTATTAATCGTCTTCTTACAGGACATACTTATGATAAGGAGTATCTACATA